ATTATATTTATGACGAAAGCACGAAAACTAAACTTAAATTAACACTAAATTAAACTCAAAGACGCTATTATAATGAGAATATTATCTAAAAACAGTTAGAAAATCACAAATACAAAATCCCGCCCAAAACAAACACATGTAAATAAACAAACATCCTACTTTAGGTGACAAATGAGAGGCGCTCGAAAATTAATTTGAATCGCGAATAGTATACTTTTTCGTTTTGTAGTCTGTGCGTAGATAAGGTAATATCCATGTTGAGGTAGAAAAAACTAAATCATTCTGCATTACCCCAGATAGCACAAAGTCGTCTTAAAGACGTCTCGCATAAGACATTAGAGACGTCTTTAAGACGTCTGGTATTTCCTGAAAGACGTCTTTAAGACGTCTTAGAAGACGTCTGATGTTACAAAAGGGGACGTCTTTAAGACGTCTTATTAATGGCTTATATTGGTCTGTAGAGCCTAAAATAAGCCGTAAATAAGACGTCTTTAAAACGACTTATTATTAGCTTATAATAGTCTTGTAAAGCCTAAAATAAGCCATAAATAAGGTGTCTTTAAGACGTCTTATTAATGGCTTATAATTGTCTTGTGAAGCCATAAATAAGACGTCTTATGAACGTAGGATGTCGGATATCTTAGTTATTAAAAAGTAGAACAACCTTGCAGATTATAAATAATGCAAAAAATAAAATTAAAATATTTATTGATAAAATATCTATTAATCACAGGTCACTAAGAGGTATTTTCTTTGTAGCGCATTCGATCACTCCTATTTAGCTATAACTGGATTGATTTTTCTCTTTGATTTGTAGTTGCCTTTGTATAGCTCCTAAAAAGAAATTTAGTTAAGAGCATCTAGTCACAGAAAATTATACTTTGCAAAAGTTAGTAAAAACCGAAAGATCAGTTATCTATAAAACAAAACAAAAATTAATTTCTTAGAATTTTAAATCAAAGAATTTTTATAATCATTTAATGCAATATGAGGTATTATGCTTAATCGCCTACTTTAACTTCACTCAAAATTGCTATCTAATAGGGAGTTTTTGATATTAATAGTTCTTAAAATCTCCATAAAAACAAAATATCTGAATTAAATCTTATATAAAGATGTTTACTTTTAAATTAATTTAATTATTCTTAGAAGAAACAGGATATTAATGTTCTATGTATATAAACAAATATTCATTTATTACCTGTATTCCAGGAACGTGCTACATCGGTAACAGAAACTATTCTTTCTTCTCTGGTTTGTGTCCCATATTATTTAAGTAGAAAGAGACACAAATGCTCAACATAGCCCAAGGTCGCTTTTGGTGGCTATAATCGCGTACGCAATAAAATAATCAATAATCCACAATGAGCTTGGGCCATACAAATTTTTGGCTTGGGCTTGAATGTAGTTCTTCTTTTCTTCGTTTTAGATGGGCTCAATATTTTCACTCTTCCACTGCACTTGATATTTTATTTCAATATTCTTCTCCAAATATTACACTCAATATTTTGTTTAATTTTGTACACTTTTAAAGTCGGATGGTCACTTTTATACTAGATATTTTGTGATTTTTATGGGACATCTGGGCTCCCGATTCTGAGACCGCCATTTTAATGTTGTCACGACAGTGTCCGAATCGAAAGTCTGGCTTGAATGTAATGTTAAGTCAAATCACAAACTTCACTTCATTTGATTCTTTTTGTTAAATTTGAATTATGTAAACCGTGCAAGTTTCCGTCCGACTGAAAGACGTTTGTAAGACGTCTTAAAGGCGTCTTTGAGCTTTCACATTAATATATGGATTTGGCAAGACGTCTTAAGAACGTCTTTGAGCTCTCACATTAATACGTCTGAATTATGGCTTTTGTAAGACGTCTTATAAGACGTCTTAATAACGTCCTAGGACATTGAGACCAAACCAAGACACAAAAAAGACGTCTTTCAGACGTTGTGTGCTATCTGGGTCTTTCTCACATATTTCATTCAGAAGTATTGTTTCCAAATATAAATTGTCCATAAGTTACTTAGTGAAAACAAATTGTCAATTATTGAAAAATTGAACTACGACATAGATTATTTTAGCCTACTTTATTGGTGTCGTAGATTATAGCCGCGTTTGAGAATCCACATCGGATGCATTTTTTACATCTCGAGCGTTTTTTTATCCACATCGGACACATCTGTCCCATTACATTTACGTATACTGAATCACGTGATCAAAGATTTTTTACATCTCAGATGCATCCGATGTGGATTCTCAAACGCAGCATATATATACATGAAAAGGAGGAATACCTATAATCTATTTTAATTTAGAGTACGGGTGGCAACTCTTTCACGTGTACATGCTACCTACATGCATAGGCGAAGTAGAAATGCTTGTCCATTCTTGTCTCAGACATTCGTAAAGACAGCGTAGGAACTAATAGGAAGACTGCCTTGCACTGACTTGTTTAATTTATCGATGAATAAATAGTAATATATTATTAGGAACAAACGCGTTCATTTGTTTCCAGAGCGTTGAAAATATTAAGAAAATAATTTTAAAAGTATAAACTAGTTAATATACGCAGGAATTACAGTGAACCAATGTAATTTTGTTTGGGAGTGCCAAGAGAAAGTAAGTACATTTTTTTTATAAAATGTTAGTTTGTTACTGCGGTAGTTAAGAAATTATCTTTGTATGATAATCTATTATATCAGTTTCCTAGTTTATGTGTTTAATTTATCTTAAGTAACAAGACAACCAGGAACGTATTTTGAAAATAATAGTAAGTTGATTTGAAAAACAAAACAAACTTTATTAGGCGTTGCGCCAGAGATAACAGGAGATGTAACTACAAATAATTATCGTGCTGTAGTGATAAGACATATTCTAAGGGACACAGGAAGGTATAATATCAGCTGTTATCATGCCTATTTCATTATTCTTGTTTTATTTACAAAATTATTTACATATTTTAAAACAGCTAAAATTTTCTATGACCTATTGCAACTGAACCTAAAAATTTTTGAATCATTAGTTTTATCAAATTTAACTAAATTAGATGTAATAATTTACAATAAATTCGAAATCCTATTTTGTACTAGATGTGGAAACAGGGCATGCATTTTGTACGTTGTTTATTATAGGCGTACAACGGCGTACACGTATATTCTTTGATAAAATTGTTTTGTAGTGCTGTCACATTCTTCAGTCTATCCTTTCCTTACCTCATACCACATGTTTCTTGATTCCCGATCTACAACTGGACCGTATCGACTGTGTTATCGATGTCTGCGTTACGAATATTATATTTTATTAATGAATAGCTATATCTCCTGTTATCTCTGTGTTGCGCAGATGATAAACATAATACACGGCCTTATTTTAAACTTGCAAGGTTGAATTTAGTTAAATTGTTCGCTTACTTGCTAACATTCCATCGAGATGAACTGATGGATTAATAAAATCCAAAGGAAACAGGAGGTGGATAGTAGAGCTCTTCAACGGTTACCTGTTACTAGCTAACTGCTTTAGTATGACGTACGTATGCACAATCGAGTTTTTTTAGTTATAAATACATATAACTATTACTGAGGACTAAATTCTCCTTTTAAATAAGATTTTTGACAAAAAAGTTCATCATCCTTCATATGCTCAACGTCTTTTTCTCAAAGTTGTTTCATTGGAGAAGTGCTATCTGCTTAAAAAGCACTAACCATTTGTTCAGTAGATTTACAATTAGTTTAATTATTGAATTAAAATAAGCTTTTTCGTCCGATACCTTTTACATTATTGGTATAATTAATTTAAATATTTTTAATAGCTCAGTTTTGTTCACAGGTAACTGATATTAAACATGGCCGAATCTAAAAGGCCCAATTACGACGCCACAGCGGAATGTACAACAGTCGTCAGTCTCCGCCCCCATTCCGCGTTTAAATAGATGCGCTAATAGTCACATTCTTTGGCTAACAATAATTTAATTCCTTTTGCATTATTTTCAATTGAAAAAGAATTGAGTATTAAAGGAAATAAATACTGATTCTATTATTAAGAGTTTTTAAATTCAAAAACTCGAAAATGTATTTTTTGTTAAAATTTAAATTATACATGTATATTTTTTTATTAAAATAAATTATCTTGTAATTATGTTTTTGTTTTTTACTAAAAAAAAAGGAAAAAAGTTGCGTATGGTATAAGGGCCCGATTCCTTGGTGCCCCAGGGCTTCCCGGTATGTAATTCCGGCACTGATCTCGCTACTTATAGCAAAATCCGGAAATTCCCATACTATTGGAGAAACGCTAATATTGCCAGCCGGTGAAGGAGTTTTAAAAATTGTATTGCACAAACCTGCATCTGATATTAAAAGAATTCCTTTAAGCAACAACACAGTTCAAAGCCGTATTGTTGAAATAAGTTATGAAATTAAAAGCGTCTTGTGAAATTTGTTGTAAACGACCTATTTCTCTATTCAGTTATACGAGTCAACCTTTCCTGGTAATGAAGCATTATTATTAGACTAGTAAAAAACTTTGACAGAGCTTGAGATTGCGATCTGATCTGACCTAATGACATAAACATCAAATTACACATAGTTGAATATTTATTAGTTATTAAGAGAACAAGCCTTGTTGCAACCGAGGTTGAGAATATTATTTATTATCTAGGGCCTAAGGTAATAAAAATTTTACAGAACTATTGGAAAAAATCATGCAGTGTACTGTTAATACTATGTACGTGAACTTCAAACGCTAGTAGATCATCTATTTTCTTGTTTTCTACTAACTTTATGAAGGTCTGTTACATTGCCTGTTTATCTGAATTTTTTTCTCAATTTTGCTTACAGTGGGTTGCTAAATTGATTCTCGGTTGGGATATTTATTGTTGAATAAAGCATAAATCTATCCACAACCCAGGCTTTCAATACTCTGCGTATAATATAATAATGAATGTATTCCTATAATTTGAACCGTTGGCTATAGCCTTCAACTCAGTTTGACTATTTAATTTTAGGTAGCAATGTTATTAGATAGAGAAACCAAATATCCTAAATCGATCGAAGCTCCAACGGAACCAGTTACCCAAAAAAATGACAATAGAAAATACAGTAACAGTAACGCGTCTACGCCTCAGAAAAATCACTTTAGACAAGAGAATACGATAACCCAGCAAGCCGGTATATTCCAAGACAACCAAAGAAAATGGGGAATGTCCAAATTTTCTATAAATTTAACCACCAGCTTCGAGATGCCCATGAGGGGTCAGCAGAAGCAACATTTCGTAAACCACGAACCCAAAATTCAGGTATAGATTGTTATTACTTTCTAGTTGCTTTAGGAGCACTCCTAATATTGTCTATTTGTAGGAACTTACAGAATCCGACATGTCTCCAAAAACGGACAATCTAGAACCGTCGTTCCGCTTACAAGAACCGTTAAACGTCAGAGAAGAGTGTCCGAGCCCCCAACCCAGCATCAACATCAACATGAACGATTACGAAAGTTCAGATGACGAAGAACTGGTTTCGGAAATCGGCGCGACGTTCTACAACAATTTGATGGGACAAGTCAACAACATGTTGAAAAAAGCCAAAATAGAAACGAACGGAACCAGCGAAGACGAAAACAAGAAGAGCCGAATGTTGAATAAAGTAAAAGAAGCGACTTTGAAGCATTTAAAGAGCATAGGAATCAGCGTGGAGAGTTATGAAGTACCTGATAAGGAAATAAGCAATAATTACACCCCGTCCGAAATCAGTTGTACCGTCAAACAACTTCTGATGAAATATTTACCTGCTGATTACCATAAGAAACACGAAACTCCTGTTGCAGTCCAAAAAGAACCTGGACAGGCATTTTTAGCGGCTAGACCGGAATTTTCTATAGCCAGTTTGGAGTATATGCGAAAGTATAATTTGATTCCTTCTAAGGATACTGTTCCTGATTTCGTTCAGCCTGTTAAAGCCGCACAACAACAGGATTGGAATCGAGGTGATAATAGGAGGATATTGGATTTGACGGCGTTGAAAATGCAACCTAAACTCATGTGATTTTATTGTTAGTGATATGACGACGCGACGTAATGTTAATTGATTGTACATATTTTCTTTATTATATATCTTATAAGATAAAAATATCTTGTATTTTTCCCTAAGTCTTATTTAAGCAATTCGTATACCACATGGGAGGATAATAAGCCCGCTGGCTTTATTGCTCACGTAAATGTATAGAATCAAAATTTTACTCTTATTTTAAGTAGGGTAATAGGGACAGAGACTCACTAATAATAGTAATTAATAAACAGTTTATTAATAATTTCTCAAAATGTTACTAACATTTTTAGTAATTGAGCAAAATTTAGCCATAGACTATTATTACATCTAACTTTTCTTAATTTAGAACATACAATATTTTAAGAGAAATTAAAATGTTAATGATATATGAATAAAATAGTAGACAAAATTAAGATAATTTTAAATTTAAGGGAATATTTAATTAATTACTTCTGTATGAACACAAATAAGGAAAATATAGAAATTATAATTTTCTCTGGCTGAAGGGCCTAGGACGATGGCCATTTGGTTGTAAAATTTATAACCAATAAAGTGCTTTATTAAAGCGCTATTATTATTAGAATTTTTTCCGACATCGAGTTTTCGACGGGGACCCTTGGATCCGTTTATCCAGTTTTACCATTTTCGCGATGATTTCTGTTTGTGTATACTCGCAACTCATGAACGGATAAATTTTGAACTTAAACTTTAATCCATCCTGCGGTGAGCTTATTCGGGCATAGTCTGAACATCTAATAAGGGGTACTTTATAGGAACTCGTTTTTCTACTTTATGGAATATATCTATTATTTAAGCTTGGAGAAGAACATTCGTCAGATAAAAGTTGCTTTGTGATGTCATTCTCTATAATTTTGTCCTATGCATCATTTTTTTTTAAATGGACTGTATTCTGGAAATTTGACAAAAAGTAAAAAATTTCAATTTTTAAGAAAATTGTTTAAATAAAAGTTGCTTGTGATGTGATTCTCTACAATTCTTGTCCAATTCATAATTTCCTTAAAATGGACCGTATTCGAGATATTTGAGGAAAAGTGCAAATTTCGAAGATAACTCAAAAACGAGAAAAGCAACAAATTCGGAACATCTGGGGGTACTTATAGGTTTCTACTTTAAAGAATATATCTGTTATTTACGCTTCGAAAACAAAATTTGTCAAAAAAAAAGTTGCTTACAATTTACAATGTCATTTTATATAATTTTTGTCCTATACATAATTTCCCTAAAATCGTCCGTAATCGAGAAATTTGACAAAAAGTGGAAAATCGATTTAAGAAAATTTTTCAAATAAAAGTTGCTTGTGATATTCTCTATAATTTTTCTCCTATACATGATTTCCCTAAAATGGACCGTATTCCAGAAATTTGACAAAAATGGAAAAATTTTAATTTTTAAGAAAATTGTTCTCAAATCATAGTTGCTTGTGATATTCTCTATAATTCGAATTTTGAATATAACTCAAAAACGTATAAAGAGAAAAACACCAAATTTTAAGCTTTAATCCATCCTGTGGTGAAGTGATTAAATTTTGGGCATATTCGGAACAACAGAAGCAGTCGTTTTTCTATTTTATAGAATGTTATTTACGCTTAGAGAAGAAAATTCTTCAAATAAAAGTTGCTTGTAATGTTATTCTCCATAATTTTTGTTCTGTAGATAATTTTCCTAAAATAGTCCGTATTCGAGACATTTTACAAAATAAAAATGTTTTGAAAGATGTTTGATGTATTTAGTTCATCCTCCAAACATTTACAGGGATGCATGATACAGTTGTACAAAGTACAAAATAACCGGGAAAAGCCTGTAATAACTAGACAGGAAAGTCATATTGGACACATCAGGTTTTTCTTATTTCCGTTAGGTAACATGCTCAACCTTCTTCAGAGATTCAAGGTTTGATTAAAATGGAAATGTCAGCCATGGAATAGAAAGTGTTTTTTTTTTAAATTTACTCTAAACAAAATAATAATTCCACGTTTTTTAAGTATATTCACACTGAAAAAGAATAAAAAATGTTAAAAAAACAGAACCCCAATGTGAACAAATTCCTATACTGATCGATACATCTTTAACCGCACATAAATAGCAGATATAAAAACATTCTTAATAGCTTCAAATACTTTTAAATAGCTTATTTTTCAAATAAACTGCAAAAGTGCTTTAACTAGCTTTAGACGACTCTAATTGGCCCAGAGCTTTTGTTTTATTTTTTATATGGAATTATCAAAGTTTTTAATAGTCGTTCGGAGTAAATCAGATTTCCAAAATATTAACATTTATATCACACTGACGTTTTGCCTCGTACTAAATTAACTCTATATGGCATTTCACTGACAATGTTAAGGATGCAATATTAATATTTTGTGGCCATATTTCTCCACATACAGGCCTTAAAGTTGTATTCTTTTTTTGGTAGTCTTTTATAACACTCTGTATTGTGTTCTACATAAAACATTTATACATCATCTCAAGCAAAGCACGTAACATAACGGGGGTTGATTTAGTTTTATTCCTGGATACTTTTGTCGCTATTCTTTCAAAGTTAAGATCGGTCAATGTTGCCGATTCTTTCATATTATATAAATTAGATTTAGAAATCTTAGTCGTTTCTGCGACTGCTTTATATGCATTTTTTTTCTAGAACAGAATAAAAAAAATTTGTACTTTTTATAATAGACTACATTAAAAATTTACCTTCCTGATTTTTTTTCTTATTTTAAAATAAATTTAATTAAAAAATGGCTGATTTCATACAATTTAAATATGTAAATAATTTTGACAATTAAAACATTTTTAAGTAAAACGATAATCGTTTTTTGGGGATTTTATAAATATACCCACTCATTTATCTTTTTATTAAAATAAAAGAAAACCAAAGTAAAAAAGAATAAATATAATTGAAACTCTTAAACATTATTCAGTCTTAAATAAATAACCGACATACAACAAAATAAAAATATTCAAATTAATAATAAACGTCTTCCTCAAATGCAGAAATCAAACTTACAAAGCTATCTCTAGACGTTCCTCTTGCAATAGTTGAAGGATGTGCCTAGAAAACATATTACGAATACATTTTGATTATAAATATCTATAAAATTGTAATTCATACTGAATAGAAACTGTTCAATGACTCATTGCTCAAACAGGATCTCAACTCATCCCTGGGTGCATCGTAATCGTCCAGCCTTAGTACAACGGTATCGAAACTGCAAAAGAAATAGTAAATTTAAGAACACAATTAAATTTATCATAATACCTCTTTACGACTTCCAAGGAATCTGTTAAATCAACTGGTTTCGATTCACCATTAAGGTCATAAAACGGCAAATTTTTAGATGTAAACGCATTCTCTGGCTCTGGAGTTCCTGAAAGCCGTCTAAAACCATGTAAATTACAGGGAGGCGTAATATTTTCTTTTCGCATTCCATTTTCATCGATTACATAAAAAGTGTTATTATTTTTCTTCTGATCGAAGCTTAAAACAACTCAATTTACAACGACAGTCTTAAATAAAACGAATAAATACTTACCAAGTACAGAAAAATACGAAAAAAACCACTATAAGAAGAGTTCCTACAGCGAGTACCAGACTAATCCCTAAAAAATTAAAACGGTAATAACAGTACTCAATAAACGACTACTAACTTACAAGATTGCAACCAAACAACTGTAATAACCATTTTCTAATTTTACAATAGTTCGTTCACCTTCAGTTTGAACTTTATTTTTTTTTTTTATTAAAATTTTATAACTTTTTAAATGGTCGCGAACTTTTTAACCGCTCATCCCCTCTACTCTTCTTCTCTTTTTTTAATTATATAATAAATTGAACTATTCAGATCGGTCTCTTACACTTACAGGAACGCAGGTACTGAAAGTGTGCTACAGCGACTCCCGATTTGGTTTCCTTGACGACCGCGCAAGACATTCATAATAAAAAGAATTCTTCCTTTGTCGACAAATGCCTTTTTTCGGCAGCAAATTTTCGCCTAAAAAGGCGCCTCAAAGGAAGTCAGTCACCGAATCACCGAGAGATAATCTGTCACAATTGTTGTCGGATGATAGAACTATCCAGTTAAATTTGGGGGAGCAACAGTTTGTGTTCGATAATGGAGATTGGATACCAGGTAAAACAAATAATACCTATTTACGTACTACATACAAGATTTTTTTTTCAAATTTTAACTAAATTATTTATAAAAAAATAATCTTTAATTTTTGTGCTGCCAATAAAATATTTTAGAAAATGATTATCTGGAAAATTGTTGGGAAAGAAATGTGTCTCATTTTATATAATTTGATTTATTTGAATGAACACAAGTTGTTTTTTCAAATATTTTTGAATGTAATTGTCTATATGCAACCAATATTACTTTTATTTGCACTTTTAATTGCCTAACTTTCATAGACATTTAAAAAATCTACAGCTAAATTTCAGAACACCTTTTACTTTCTAGTGAAATTATACCTAAACAGGGGCGGTAGGCGACATTAAAATAAACATTTTTGCTTAATAAAGGTCCGAAATCTTTTCGTTTCCGAGATACGTATAGTGTATGTAAAGGTTTAAAAAAATATATTTTTAATCAATATCTTGAAAACGTTTTAACCAATTTCAATGAAATTTTCAGTTTGTTGAGATCTTGATGTTCAACATTATGCAACTGGTTGAATAAAGTAGATCATTTTGACATTTGCTGCGATTACAAAAAAATGTCACTTTATATGTCAAAATTAAAAAAAATATTCCTCTATTCCCTAACCCTAACTTAATTCTGTCAATGGTTAAAAGGATTCCTTTAAAATATAATTATTGTTAAAGGGGTGTTAAAATTGAACTATAATTTTTAACAGAAAGTATAATAGCCTTCTATGATAATTTGGAGAAGTCGTAAGATGTTTTCTCACAGAGATAATGATTACTTGACGCATTAGTTTTTGATAATGTGGTTTGCTCCACAACCTTTTAACAATGTGTCAAAATGAAACGGGAAACACCAGTTGAAGATGCGGAATATTCCAGAGGTTAAAAGTGTTCTCAACTCAAATTTCATAAGGCGATAATAGCAGGCTTTAATTGCTACTGCTGCAGTAAAAACTATCGATAAATAGATTAATCTAATAATCGATAATCCGATTATTCAGAAATAATCATAGAAAATAATCGATTTTCTGAATTTATTTGAAAATAACTTACAATTCGATTAATCTAAAATAATCGATTAAATGAAAATAACCAATTAAATAATCGATTGTTTATTTTGATAATCGCCTACTAATAATATCACTACTAGCAACGTTGTTGTCGTCTCAAAACCTTACACAAAACACTCATTTTTATTGTTTTGCCAATCGTCCACCATTTAGTCACGTGATTTGAATTGCATAATATCCGTACAACTTCTTTTCCTTTAACGGCCTTTTTCCATGCGTACCTTAGGTTAAAATTAATTCAAATTTAATAAGGCGATGTTGTCGAGCTTTCGAGACAAAATACCGTTTGTGGTTAAAAATATTAACGGGGCTAAAAGTTTAATTTTTAAAGTTATTTACATTTTAAAGGATATTTTATAGAATAGACCTCATATCGTTTAATTTTTTTTGCTATTTTTGGAAATCATCGTTTTCAGAAACTGGTCAACGTACTGCATCCCACAAATCCAAGCAAAAAATGAAGAAAAAAATACAAGAACTTGAAGAGGAGAACAATTTATTAAGACTGAAGTACGAAATGATGCTGAACATGGTAAGACAACTGAACTGATGAATTCCCAACGACATTTCTCTTTGACAAACCATTTTTCTAGATGACCCAAGCAGCCATCGATCGACAACATATAGAGAAAATAAAAAAGAAGAAGTAAAAAAGAATATAATAATTTATTTTTAAACTTATAACAATATATAACATGTAAAAAATTCACTGTTAAGTTCTCACTTGTTCGGACATTTATTTCTAGTGTGTCCTGAAAAAAAAAAAAAGAATTATGCGAATAAAATAATGATAAAAAGAAAGTATTATTATTATTATTGGAGAGTTATTGCAAATTTCTATAAGGTCAGCCACTAATAGTGAAAACGTAATTAGAAACAAATAAATTCCATGCTAAAATAAGACTTATTGCAAACCTGAAAATTTGACATTAGAGTCCTTGTCCTTATACATATTTCTAACCTCATTTTAAAAATTTTAAGTTACAGTTCATCTTTTTTGTTGTCTATAATAGTACATAATATGGAAGAGACATTAGAAATTACCATTTTAGAAGGTTTATATGACGATGATATATATTTAATATTAAAAAACTTCGAACTGATACGAATATTGTCGAGCGTACCCGAAAAGTATAAAGCCGCCAGTATCTGCTATCCTTAAACATCCACAATTAAGGACAAGCACAATCTTTATTAAAGTCAGTTCTAGAATATAAGTGATCTGTGCATGCTCAGATGTCAAAATAAGAGCGGCACTAATAGTGACTGACCTTAAGTGAACTTGCAATAACTCTCTATTATTATTATTGAGATCAAATATTTGTGGGTGCGACATTGAAACTAATTTCATCGATGCACATAAATAATGTTTACGCTTATCGCCGACATCTTTCTCTGACACATGATAGCTGAAATTTGACAGATAACTGCGCTTACACGTCAGATCCAAATAAACATCTCACCTTCCTCTCCGCAAATTCCGCATTTTCTTTTAGCTTTCGTTTGATTATTGTAAGGCGCCGTTCTTTTATTCGTAGTCTTCTTATTCCGTTGCACAAAATTGTTGCCTCCGCCGTAATTCCAGTTTCCGCCGCCGCCGCCCCCGCCACCATCGCCATCGCTGCCATTGTTATCGCCGCCACCGTCGGTCTTAAACAAAATAATTTATAAGAATGGGTAATGGAGCTAATTTACTTCTACCTGATGATTGTTACGAAAAACTAAATAAACTAAACGAAACTAAAAGACCCCATAAAGAAATTATAAATAAACTATAAAGAAACTATAAAGAAGCTATAAAGAAACTAAAATACTAAAGAAACTATGAAATAGATTAACTATAAAGAATATCTAAAGAAACTTTAAAAAAATTAAAAATAAATTATAAAGAAACTAAAAAAATTAAAGATAAATTATAAAGAAACTATAAGGCAGAAATAATTAACTATATAATAAAATAAATAAAGTCAATAAACTAAATAAAACTTACGGAGATAATAAGTGAAATACTAAGTCAACGTACCTGATCGGCCCATTTGAAAAACTTGCATCCCTGTCCAATGGGTTTTTGGCAACAGTAAAACTGTCTGCCAGTATTCGGACCGGCTTTGGACACTGTTTTGAGAGTGGCCGGTTGCCTACAGTCGCAGTTTATTTGCGACGGATCGTTGTTGGTGGTGTTGTACTGCTGCCTGCTGGTATTGGTATTACTGCCTGGTTCTGCGTCCGCATTCGGAGCCCACATGAAAAAGTTGCAAGTGCTGTTGGCGCATTTGTAGAAAAGTTTGCCTGTAAATGAGAAAGTAAAAAGGTATAAAATGAAAAAAAGAAAATTCAAAATCAATACCACAAATAACATTTATTAAAACCGTTAATAGAGAGATATTGCAAATTTCTATAACGCCAGCCATTAATAGTGACATCGTAATTAGAGTCAAATAAATTACCATGCTAAAATCAGACTTATTGCAAACCTGAAATTTTGACATTAGAATCCTTGTCCTTATACTTATTTCTAACCTCATTTTAATAACTTTAAATTATAGTTCATCTTTTTTGTTGTCTATAATAGTACATAATATTAAAAAGGCATTAGAAATTATAATTTAAGAAGGTTTAGATGACAATTATATTAAATATTTAATATTAAAAACGTCGAACGGATACGAATGTTAGCAAGTGAAGTTACATCGTACAGACCCATCTCTTTGTTGGTCGTTATCCCGAAACTATGAAAAATTCCTTCTTAAGAGATTGAAATCTATAATAGAAGAAAAAGACCAAATACCCTCCTACCAATTTGGCTTTAGAAAAAAACACTCGACTATTGACCAAGTTCACAGAATCACAAATACCATCGAGAAGTCCATAAAAGAAAAAAGTTTGCTCCACCATCTTTTTGGATGTGGCTCAGGCTTTCGACAAAGAATGGCATGAAAGCCTAATTTAAAAACTGAACATGTTCCTGCCACGTCAAAACTCAGAACTAATAATACCCCCCCCCTTAAAGTGCGCCTATGGAACCCGACAGAGAAATGAATAGATTCGGGTAGAGTACAGAAAATCACAAATGTGCTTACTTTGAAATGTCTGAAGCCTAACATCTGGGTATATAAATAGGAATGTTTTGCCATTTCGGACAGTTCAAGCTGAGAAATCGTTGAGAGCAGATTAATATTGTCAATATAAATTAGTATTTAAGTGAATGTGATATAAAAATTAGTTAAGTTATTAAATAAATTAATATAATAATAATAATACTCTCCCTAATTCACCCCCTTACGAGTAAATGTCAACCCCTGAAGTCGACTATGCGACTTGTGTAGGGGAAGGGACGGTGTTTATTATTATTTGCCGTGGCGCTCCGGGGCGACTTAAAGATGATTGATGGTGCCATTTGACTTACAGGTGATGAAATCCCGGAAAACCTCACACAATTACCATACTATTCAAATTAAATAATAAATATCATTGATGAAAATCAACAGCTGCAAAAAATAAAAAAAAAGAACCTTGATTAGGACCATCCTTTCTCACAGTTAGCAGAATAGCGTCTTGATTACAAGAACAAACGACTTCGTCCATCTGTTCGCCATTTTGCGCGCCACCGCTACATCCTGCGTTATTGTTATTATTGGCCGCCGCCGGTCGAGGTAACACGTCCAAAATTGTCGTTCTATTGGTCGTCGCGTTGGGCTGGTTCTGGCTGCCGAAATTCTTCGACAACCAATTTCCGTTTCTGGAACCAGAAGTAGAACTGGATGGGTTCGAACCGCCGAATCCACTGTCGGAATTTCTTCTCGTGTCGTCGGCAGACCAGTTGTGAGTCGGATTCTGATTGGAACCCGTGATTGAATTGTTTGGTGTGCTGCTTCTTCTGATATTATTCGGTGCCGGTTGATTTTGAGCGTTGGTGAACTGTGCGGCGATATTAACAAGCGGCCTTCCTGGAAATACAAAAATATTTCGATTTCATGATAAAATAATGTCCGAATGGCGGTACACTTTAATATTTTTATCAATCGATTATATTTTAAAATCGATTCTATTTTACAATCGATTCTATTTTATAATCGATTCTGCTTTACAATGCATTATTTTACAAGTTGAACTACTTACCCGTTAAAAATTTCGTAGTGCTAATGTTTCAAAGACTACTCATGTTTTTCTTCTTCTAATTAGTAAGTGTAATGGCTTAAATAATATATTTGAACTACTCTCGAAAACTTTAATTTGAAAGTCAAAATATTACTTTGGGCAACGTTTCTTATAAGATTATAATCCGGTGCTTATAAAGAAAAAATCTATTATAATAAAGAATCGATGCCAAAAAATAATAGATTGAAAGAATCAAATGTACTACTATTGTTACATTTAAGCCATAAATTTATTGTTTAGAAGAAGAAAACTATTAAAATAATTTTTGAAACATCTAGTTGCTGCCTATGAAATTTTTAACAAGTATTTCAAATGTACCGTTGGTAAATTTAACAGATATGTGCTTAGATAAATACTGACGACTTTTGAGTAGTTCAAATGTACCTTCAAGAAACCACACTTAATATTTACAAAAAAAATATACACCGCAAAATGTCCTTTAATAAATTTTGTGTGATATTTAAATACTGTCGGCATTATTTTAAGAGAATAGTTCAAATGTACCATCCTTAGATTTAAGCCACTACTCTTAATAATAATAAAAAAAATATTTTTGGAGTAATTTTTGTAACAACTAATCGTTGTCTACAAAATTTGTAATAAGTAGTTCAAATTGTATAGGAGAATCGATTATAAAAAAATATAATGAAAAAGAATCAAATGTACCACAATTCGTACATTTAAGCTATTACATTTAATATTTACAAAAAAAATAAAAATACTTTGAATAAGCATTGAAATATGCGAATAGTTCAAGGGGACCATTCGTAAATCAACCAGACACATTTGGTATTATAAAGAAATTTTCTAAGAACATTTTTTATGTTGTTTGAATGCCATTTTGCTTTGTTTCAAGAGAGTAGTTTAAATGTACCTTTCTTATATTTAAGCAACCATATTTAATATTTACAAAAATAAATATTCGTTGAGTAATTTTCTAAACGTCTTATCGCTGTCTACAAAATTTTAAATGAGTTTTACACACATACCTTGGCCTCTCACTGATGACGGGCTAATATCTAAGGTTTCCAAAACGTTCAAATCACAGCCACCTATGCAAAGTATATTAGGATTTGGTTCGCCGGGAAACAAATTCTGCATTGCTTTGAACTTTAATTTTAGTTGTTTATAATCAGGGCCGCACTAAAAAAAATTATACATTTAAAATTGCATTAGTAATGGTTCCTAACAAATTGGAATAAGAGCAAATTTACTTGTTCTTACTTCAGCACAATGTTGGTTTTGTATTTCTATATTATCTACACAGGTAGGAAACCATATGGAATGTCGACATTGTGGATACCCTGTACACGTTAAATATTTTCCTGGTCCATTCGATTTATTCCTATAAAAATAATAAATATTAAAAGGGTTAAAAATGGCTTGGCAAACTGTTTTTTCGTTTGCCTGGACAAATCGTTTTTGTGTACCTAGACAAATCTTTTTGTTTGCCTAGACAAATCGTTTTTTTGTTTGCCCGGACAAATCGTTTTTGTGTATCTAGACAAATCTTTTCATATTTGCCTAGACAAATCGTTTTTTTGTTTGCCTGGTCAAATAGTTTTTGCGTCTGCCTAGCTAAATCGTTTTTTCGTTTGCCTACACAAATCGTTTTTTGTGTTCGACTAAATAAATCTTTTTTTTGCGTTTGCATAAACAAAGCGTTTTCGTATTTGCCTGGACAAAACGTTTTTGCGTTTGCCTAGATAAATCGTTTTTCCATTTGCCTGGACAAATCGTCTTTGCGTTTGCCTAGACAAGTAGATTTTGCGTTTGCCTGGACAAATCGTTTTCGCGTCTACCTGGACATATCATTTTTGTGTATGGTTAGACAAAATACTTTTGCGTTTACCTAGGCAAAACATTTCGACGTTTGTGTGGACAAATCATTTTTACGTTTGTCTAAAAAAAATTATTGTTGCTTTACTAGTACAATAACTAAATTATACCTTAAAACCATATCACTCCCGCACTTGGGACACTTCATAGCGGGCCTTTGATCTTCATTGTTAGCGATAATTTCAGCGTCCGGTACATCGACGGGTCTATCCTCCAATCTAGTGCTCAAACTTTGATCAATCAATCGCATCTTTTCCATAACCGTCTGAAATACCGCTCTATATTTAGCAATTTGCTCTCGTTTGACCTCGTCGGCGTCTTTTATACCGTCGCAGATTAATTTCAAATCCTTTTCGAATTCCGCTCTGAGATTCGGTTTAGCCAGGGACACTTCGAGACCAATGTTGTTGTAGCTGGAAGACAAAAACATTTTGGTACATTGTTTTGCGGATCGTTACTGTTACTCACCCTTCAACTAAACCCATTCCTAGCGTACCAGGTACGAAATACATGTTTTCGTGCAAGCCCACGTATTCTCTGGATTTGATTTTTTCTATATGTTCGGCGTGTGTGGCGTCTGTCCCGATACCGTGCTTTTCCATTAGAGCTATGAGATCGGCTTCCGTAAGTAGTTTGGGAGGGGCAGTTGAACTTTCAACCTAGAATTAGAAACCGAGGGTCTTGATTATTTCAAAAGGAAATGATAGTGGATTGTGAAACAGATTGTAAAAAGTAATGACAAAAAAAACAATCGAATGATAAAAAGAATATATATATTGTAAATAAGAATTTTTTAATAGAGAATCGGTTGTAAAAATAAACCATTTTAAAAAGCATAGTTTGTAAATAAAAGATTGTAAAAAAGAATGGACTGTAAAAACTAATCGATTATAAGAAGAAGAAATGATTGTAAAAAGAGTGGATTTTAAGAAGAATCTACTATAAAAATGGAAATGATTCCAAAAAGTATTAATAACAGAAATAATCGATTGTAAATAGAATCAAATGTAAAAAATATGTTTAAAAAAATATCGATGATAAAAAAAGAATCGATTATAAAAATAACCAATTGTATATAGTAATAGAAACTCGATCGTAAAGAGTAAAATCATCGATTTTAAAAAATATTGAATGTAAAATGAATCGATTATAAAAAAGAATCAATTATAAAAATAATTGACTATAAAATGAATCGAAAGGTATTAATAGAGAATCTATTGTAAAAATAAACCGATTATAAGAGTATCGATTGTAAAAAGAATCGATTATAATAATAAGCGGTTGTACAAAGTATTAATAGAGACTCAATCGTAAAAAGTAAAACCTCGAAAACAATAGATTGTAAAAAGAGTAAAATGAAAAAGAATCGATTATAAGAAGAATTAACTGTAAAAAAAGAATTAATTGTAAAAAGAATCGATGTTAAGAAGAAACTATTGTAAAAATGGAAACGATGTCAAAAAGTAAAATTAAAATCGATTGTCAATTGAACCAATTATTGTAAAATTAAACAATTTCGAAAAGTATCGAGTAAAAAAGGATCAATTACAAAATAAATCAACTGTAAAAAGAATCAAAGTATTAATAGAGAATCTACTATTAAAATAAACCGTTCTAAATATTATCGGTTGTAAATAGAATTAATAGCGACTCGATAGTAAAAAGAATCGATTGTAAGTAGAATCTATTATAAAAATAACAATGATTATAAAAAGCAAAAATAATTGATTGCAAATTGAATAAATTATAAAAATAATCCGACTGTAAAATGAATCGATTGTAAAAGGTATTAGAAGAAAAAAAAAAAGAATCGATTAGATGAAGTTAGACTAGCCCTTAGAAAAAACCCTATACAGCAAGAATTATTTTTAAAAATTTACCAGAAAATTTAAAAAAGGCCTTGTCGATTGTAAAAAAGAATTGATTATAAAGATCATTGACAGTAAACAGAATCGAAAAGTATTATTATTATTTAGAATCGATTTTAAAATGAGTCGATTATAAAAACAAACCATCAAAAGTATCGATTGTAAAAAATCCATTACAAAACAAATCGATTGTAAGTAAGAATCGATTTTAAAAAATAATCTGTTGTATAAATTGTTAATAGCCAAAATAATCGATTTAAAAATAAACATTTTAAAAAGTATCTATTGTAAAAAAATAGTATTAGTAAAAAAGGAATTAATTGTAGAAAAATATATAATGTAAATTGGAATCTTTTATAAAAAATAATCGATTATAGAAATAATCATCTGTAAAAAGAATCGAAAAGTATTAATAGGGAATCGAGTGCGCCACGGAGTAAGAAAATCTATTATAAAGAGGGAAACGATTTTAAGCAAAAATAATCGATTGTGAATTCGAACAATTTTGAAAACTATTGATTGTAAAAAAAGAATCAATAATTATAAAAATAATCGATTGTAAAAGATTATATTGTAATTAAGAATCGATTATAAAAATATTCAATAGAGGACTTCTTTCTATACAAGGACAATTCAACCAACCTTACAAAATAAAATTGACACTAATGACACAATAAATCGGGTCACATAAAGAGACTGTTTTTTCGTTTAATTTTTGGTTTTTCTTGTATACTTTTATGCTGTTCATATAACATGTTGTACCAGTAACATAAAATAATAGTTTGTGCAACAAGAGTGTATATGATGGCCATACCGAACGAAGACGAATTTTGAGCACGACGCCGTAGGCTCAATTGTCTAAGTGCGATGTGGACAATCCAATCGAGTTGTACAGTATATTTTTTCTACGACCCACTAACGAAAATTTTCAAATAAAAAAACATTTTAGGTTAATAAGACAAAATAACTAATTTTAAAATAATTTATGACTTTTATAATTTTTAAAATAAAATAAACGAAGAAAAAAAAATTAATTTAAAAGTCCCCAGCCGAGGCTCGAACTTGGGTTTCTCGCCTTGGATTTTTTTTTTTTAATACTCGTAATTGAATTGACTTCATAGTTTTATTAAAATTAACAAATTATTTATAATTATAGTATAAATAAAAAATAGAAATGCTATTATTTATCATCATTTTAATGTATATTTAAGTTCAATAACTAAAAAATACACTAATAGTTTGATAGAATTGTCACTTATTTAAAATTTTAAAAATAATAGTCATCAGGTGACCAAAATATGAACTGTGATTGGTGGATTTAATTTTTTTGCAGTGTTCTCACTACATCGAATGGATATAAAATATATTTTTGTAGTCTGTGCCTAGATAAGCTAATATCCATGTGGGTGTAGAAAAAATACTTTTTAGATTAGGGTTTTTTACTTTTAAAGGTTGAAAAAAATTGTCAATAAGAGCTGTCAACAATTTCTTATCATAACGTTTTATTTTATTTTTATTATTTTTTTTAGCTTTGTTTAAAAATTTATTTTGATTTTGTTTTATCTATTTATGTTAAATAGAAAATGCTGCTGCTGAAAGTACAAGTTTTATACAATATATTAGCACATACAATACTAGTTACGTTATGCCCATCTATGGGTACTCCTATGTCATACCTTTAACAGTGTAAAAATACTTACAACTAAAAGTCTTTTTTACTTTACAGGTACAACATGGTATATAAACAGCGTAAAAGTAGATAAGAAAAACCAAAAAGTAAATGAAAAAACACCTTTTTTATGAGACCCAATTTCTTATGTCATTAGTAAAGACCGGACAATTTAATTTATTCTTATCAGCGAAGTAACGGTAAGAGCGGACCTTCGATTTGAATAATACATTCTGAATAAAACAAGTTATTTACTGAACTGGTCGACACAGTAGATAAGATATTGGATTTTTATCGCCCGGGCGTAACATTTGGGGCGGGCTTATTATTACATTTACATTGCAATAATTATTTTATTAAATTTTAGTTCAAATTTGGTTGGATATTATTATATAATTACAAATGATATTATTATTTATTTTTTTATTGTGTTGTGGGATAATGTTGTTGGCTTTTTCTGTTAATATATTATTGACTAATAAATATATCAACGAGGATACACCATCATTAGTTTTATGTTTAGAGTGTTCCAATATACACTCTTTATCCTAAAGTAGCAAATATACAATTATATACAATATATACAATACAAATTAATATCAATCTTCTTCATTTGAAAAATATGTTTGTATGACTGCATATTTTTCTAAATTGTCTTCAGTGAAATTACTTCTTTTAGAAGTCAATAAATCTTTAAACCTAGAAAACGATCGTTCTACGTCACAACTCGTTACAGGAGCAAATGAAAAATGTGGAACAAAATCACAATATTTTAAAGCAGTTTCATAATCGTTAAAATTGTTCAGGGAGATTTGTTTCAGAGTCTGTAAATTTGGATTTCTTTTAATAACACAATCTATTTTATGGTTAAATTTATCTTGTAAGGGCCACTTTACGTTTTTTAAGTGTAACAATGTCGATTCAAATTTTTCCATAGCAACCGATAATTGTAAGTTACGGGTTTCAAGGAATTTTATAGTTTCTGGGAGACATGAAAAATAAGTCGCAAGAAAATTTAACTCCGACTGCAAAGTTGTTTTTGTTATTAAACCTTTACACTGAGTGATAGAGAGAGCGTCCTCTGATAAGTTGGAAATAAATACTTTTAGTCTGTCGAAATGCTCCGAAAAAAAGAACACAGCCTGTAACCAAGTTCCCCATCGTGTAATAACTGGTTGTGGAGGTAGGGGGATATTCGGACATATTTCTTTATATAAAGAAACTCGGGACGGTGCTTTTAACAAAAATTTTTTAAAACAGCTAATCAACGAATTAATGTCTGGAAAGCTGTCACGGATAAACTCACAAACTCGGTGTAACGCGTGAGCAAGGCAAGTTACATGCAGCATGTTTGGAAAATGTTCTTGTAATAGTTTCCCTGTTTTCAACATTACACTTGCCGCGTCTGAAATAAACAATAAAACTTTTGAAACGTCATTATCAATTACATTGTTCAATCCACGTTTCACTATTTCATAAATCATTTCAGCGTTCACAGTTTCACGAAACACACTAGAAACTAAATACTGTTGTGAAGTATTTTCAGCACTTAATAATCCTACAACAACATTAACAACACATCTACCCTTTATGTCAGTCGTTTCATCTGCACTAACCCAAATATATTTGCTGGAAATTTTCGTTTTTATTGCCGTCATTGCTTTATCGTACTGATTTTGAATATAATGTTTTCTAATTGTGGATTCATCCGGTATTTTACGTTTAGTATATTTACAAAGAAAATTTTTGAAAATTGTATTATTTAATTTTGTTAATGGAATATTTGCAGAAACAAATGCGTTGCATAAATCTTCATAAAAGATTTTGTCTGGACATCCCTCTAAAGATTGCATGTGTTTTTGTGTTTTCACATGTTGTGTCATACTTGACTTTCCATTAAAAACTAACACCTGATCACAATTGCGGCAGTATAATTTGTTGTCATTAAAACGACGAAAACAATCAAAGTCCGATAATAAATTTTCCATATTTACGTTTCCAGTTTCTATCACTTTTCCCTTTGAACTAAACAAATATACTCATTGGAAAAATCTAGTGATATTTTTACAAGACACTTTCTTCTCAAATCTCCTGTTTATCGACTCTTTGTTATCTTTTTACATTTTTTCAACCAACAGATACCTATATAGAGTGAGCAATTGAATTAATACATACATTACAGAAATTTAACAGACATTTATTTTATTGTCTCATCGTGTATAAGTACCATAATATCCACAGGAAATAAAAACATAAATTTTTTGTTACAAAAAATCGGTATGTACGGTATCGATAAAAGCCAAAATATTCATAAATATAATATAAGGATTGACTTTATTTGAATAAAAATATCACCGGCAACTAACCGACAATGGATCGAGAAAGTATAAGACAACATATGATGGGCCTATTTGACATTCATTTTAGGCCCTCTCTACAGCGTCTTAGTCCAAACGCTCATAGAGTCCTAATATTTGGCCCCGATGCAATTTCTCCAACAATGAATCGGGACCAGCTAAGGCTAGAAATTTCCAATTTTCTGGAGGAAATAACAAATTCGGGGGAGGCAGCTGGGGTCCTCGATCCTCATTTTAGGCAGGAGAGTAGTGTACCACGCCAAAATATTGAGGAATAGATATTTTGTAATTATATAAGAGATAATAATAAAAAAAATATCATACAGAATATCGTTTACATTACTACACCTTAAACTCGCTTATGAAAAGTTTAACATCTTCATCAAAAAAGTTATTTTTTTTTAAGGAAAATTTCTCAGGCCACAAATTAAAGGATCTGAGGTTACTAAAAACTTTTGTAAAATATCCTACATATCCTCGGCGTTGGTGAGAAGAAAACATTAAATTTGTTTAATGAAAATGATTCAAAAGACAAAGAATATAGGTACACGATAAAAAAAAATCTCACTTTTTTGTATTAGTTTTAATGTCTATGTATATATCAGTACACTTTTTTTATCTTGTTTTAATAAAAAAAAGAGGTTTGTCCTGATAGTATTAGAATCTGCCGCACTGTCTGCCGTCTTAAATAGCGAACCCAGAATGAGACGCCTATGTGATTAAAACCAATTATTTGAACGCGATTAAAATGTCCGGTCTTTAGTCATTAGTGTCAATTTAATTTTATTTTATTAGACTGGTTACATTGTATACAAGTCTTCTATTGTAAAGAATTAGCAAAGAAGGAATCGATTGTAAATAAGAATCAATTAAAAAAATATTTTTTTTTTAAATCGATTATAAATATAATTGACTGTAAAAATAATCAAAAAGTATTAATAGAGAATCGATTGTGAAATGAGCCTATGTACAAATAAACCATCAAAAAGTATCTAATGTAAAAAAAAATCCATTATGAAACAAATCGATTGAAAATAAAAATTTTAAAATAATCTATTGTAAAAAGTATTAATAGCCAAAATATTCGATTGAAAAATAAACCTTTTTAAAAAACGATTGTAAATAAAAATCGATTATAATGATTGTAAAAAAAGTATTAATAAAACAAAATAATTGATTGTAAAAAGTATTAATAATAAAAAAAGAATCGATTGTAAAAAAGTATTAATAGCAAAAATAATCGATTTAAAATTGAGTCCAGTTACTACTGCGAAAAGTTACTATTAATTCAGAATCAGTTCACAATTCCTTCTGCAAACAAAATTAAAATCGCGATTTAATCGAATAATAAAGAATACTACATTATTTTCCACCAGAAAGCATTGATTACTTGGGACAGATACAGGAGAATGTAAACCCAAAAGGATTAATATTTACTTACAATATCTAGAAGCGTCGGAGTGAAAGTTTGACCGACGATATAATTGTTTATCTCCTTAGCATTCCACTTTTCGTAAATGTACACCTCCAGATAATTCTTTTCCAAAATGATGAGCCCTTTTGCCTGAAACTTTTCTCCGGCAATGTCCGCGCTGACAATTGTTTCGAAACCTTTAGCGTCCTTATGCAAACAGGCCAAAAAATGTCTCACAATGTACTCATAAAGTCTCTGTTCGTTACCGCCAAGATTATCGGCGTATTTCGTGGGATGGATCGGAGGATGCGCCTGGAAGGGTTTGAATTAACATATACATTTTTTCTCCTAAATAATCTAATTATCTAACCTGATCGGATTTTTTGCCATGCCTGGGTGTTGGTCCACCCTCGTCCATGATTCTTTGCGCGAAATTGCCCCATCTGGCGTCGTTTAATTGCTGTTGAACTAAGTTACTCAGGTTCAATTCTTTGGGAAATATATTGGTTTCAGTACGTGGATAACTTATGTAACCCTGAGTGTATAACCTTTCGGCCAGTTTCATGGTATCTTTGGCGTTGATTCTTAGCTTTCTCGAAACGTTTTTTTCCATTTCCTACCAACAATTATTTATTGATTTGTTCAGGAGTAAAAGTCCATTTAAAACAAAAAAAAAATATGAATTGGGATGATGTTATATGACTACATAATACCATCCTTATAGTCTTCTTTAGGTAAATGTATCCACGAAAAAGAAACATTGAACAAAAATCATTTAGGTACAAAACTTCAAACATCAAGATTTTTAATACACTTTGGAATATTAACTTTATCTAATTTAAAAACATCAGTACTTAGTTTAACATGATGCAGGTACACAGATTTCTCAAAGAAATTTGACAGACTTGACTACGGTATTCTTC